GGGCCCAGGTTGATCCAGAGAATGCTGGAAAGCAAAGGAAGGGAAATCTTGGCCAGATATGGAGACAAAACAAGAACACACAATGGAGAGCCACTCAGCAACCTATGGTCAAGGGAGGGTGTGTCCATGCACTAGGTGTCTACAGGCTGCGAGGCACAGTGGTACACACCTGTAATTCCAGCATGTAGGAGGCAGAGGTAGGAGGGTCAGGAGCTAGGTAGTAAGTTTGATACCATCCTAGGCTATATGAGGCCATCTCAATAAACCAAAAAAGGTAAGTCTGCAGATCTGAACTCTCATCGCCTGACCACTGCAGAACTGTCCCTGCTCTCTGGACCGCTGTCTCCTCCGCCTTTCTGGCCCTAAGGTTCACAGCATTTCCCTCAAGGAGCCTTCCTTGATTCCTACCCACCTAAGGCTGGGCCTGGCACATTCCCAGGGCTTCCCAAGCCCCCTGTACCCTTCCACTCCAGCCTATAGTTCCTCATGTTGGCACTGACTTAGGTCATGGATGCTGCGGTACAGGAAATGACACCACTCATGGCTAAGGCAGTTAGGCTGGGGTGCCTTCTTCACCTCTTTCCTCTTCCAGTGGAAGCAGAGCATGCCAAGCCCCATGGGAAAGCGCAGCACAAAAGGGAAGGAGTCCAGGGCTCTGAATCACAAGGAGGGTCATCTCAGTCTGTGAGTAAAAAACTAGTACTGTGTTGAGCTAAAATATTGGAGAGGAAATAGACATCTATTTTTTTTTGTGGTACTGAGGACTGAATGGAAGGCCTCAGGTATGTCAAGCAAGTGTTCTACACTGATCTATGCCTGCTGTCCCTATTTATTCGTTTATTTAGTTATTTGTTTTGCAGTACTGGTTGGTACTGTACTATCCCAAATCATCTGTTTCCTTTTGTATGTGTGTGTGTGGGGGGGCTGTCTGTCTTTTCACTTTTAAAAAATGATTTATTGTATGTGTGTACATGTCTGTGTGTGCACACTCATGTACACCAAAGGTCGGAGGACGACTTACAGGAAATGACTTTCTCCTTCCATCATACGGGTCCCAGGGATCAAACTTAGGTCATCAGGCTTGCTGGCAAGCAGCCTTGCCCTCTGAACCATCTTGCTGGTCCCATTTTTTTGCTTTTCAAAAAACTTTAAAAATCAAATTATTGGGGCTGGAAAGATGGTTCAGTGGTTAAGAGCACTGGCTGCTCTTGCAGAGGACCTGGGTTCAATTTCCAGCCTCCACATGGCAGCTAACAACTGTCCATAACTCTAATTCCAGGGGATCTGACGCTCTCTTCTGAACTCTGTGGGCACTGCATGACTCGGGTGCACCTACCTACATAGGTAATACACTCATATACCCAAAATAAAAACAATAAATTTAAAAATAACTCACATTATTTACTTATGTGTGTGTATATATGTGTGTACACACAGTGGCACACATGTGGAGGCCAAAGGACAACTTGTAGGAGTCAGTACTGTCTACCATGTGGGTTTCAGGAAATAAACTCAGGTCATCAGGATCAATCACAAGCACCTTTACCCACTGAGGCATCTCACTCTTTATTTACACTTTTTTTCCCCTTTGGTTTTTTGAGACAGGATCTCACTACGTAGCCCTGGCTAGCCTGAAACTCAGTATGTAGACCAGGTTGGCTTGGAACTCTGAGATCCACCTGCCTCTGCCTCCAGGGTCCTGGGATTAAAGGCCTAAGTTACTACTATGATCTCTTTTTACTTTTTGAGGCAAGGTCTTACTAAGTTGTTTAGGCTGGCCTTGAACTCACTCCACAGCCCAGGCAGGACTTAAATTTAGGATTCAGACTGTCTTGCCTCAGTTCCCTGGGTAGCTAGGATGACAGGTGTGCACCACCAGGCCTGGCTCTTAGGGAATACTGTTTATAGCAGTTAGCTGATGTACTCCGACTCACATCCTAAAGGACCAACCTGGTGGCTGGAGGCGTCATACAGGAAGTTGGCCCAGTTGGGATCTGTCTGCATGAATCTGAACTCAAACAGTTCCCTCATACACAGCCTCAGGATCTGGAAACAAATCTAGGGAGGGAAGAAGATGTTTCTGTGAGGTATCCTGTGGGGCCCTCTGACCAGGAAAGAAAGTGTGGCCTTGGCCCTCCCTACCACCCCAGGAGGTGACATACCTGGTTTCGGATGTCCTGGCTCAGGCCCTGGCACTGGTCCAGAGGGATTCCTCCAGCCAGCTCCATGCCCAGTACCCGTGTGGTGCAGAGCTCCTGAACCACAGCTGGCACCCGGAAGAAGGGGTCATCAGCCAAGAGCTTCCTGGGCAGGAAGAAGGGGAAGGAGGGTGATATGGTGCTGTAGACCCCAGGGGCTTGGTTTGGGTTGGCCCTCTTTTCTAAGAAGCTCTTCAGGCAGTGCTCTATGATTTCCTTTCCACCTGCCCTTCTCTAGCCTGTGTGCCTTGGATGACTACCAATAACTGCCTGGACTGGCATTTAACACATATCTTGGTAGTGTGTATGCTGTGCCTGTCCTTTGGGTGTTGCTAGAGACCCAGTTACTATTTCCCTCCTAGGAATCCTGACTTCTGGTTGCCCCAGGATGAGCTCAGAGTATTCAGTTCACAGATCACTTAAAAAAAAAAATTAGTTTAGGGTCAGTGAGATGGCTTAGCAGGTAAGGGTGCCTGCTACCAAGCCTGATAAGGTTGATTCCCAGGACCCACAGAGTGGAACTTGAGAACCAACTCCTGAGAGCTGTTGTCTGACCTCCACATGTGCCCCAATCAATTTATTAATTCATCCCCCAAACAGTCATTGATATAATTATCTGTGAGTTTGGGCTGGCGAGATGGCCCAATGGGTAAGGCACTTGCCTCCAAGCCTGCTAATCTGAGTACTACCCCAGAAGGTTGTCTCCTGATCTTCACATCTCCACATGTGAGCTGTGGCATGCATGCAAACACACATGCACACAATAAATAAATATTTTTTTAAACCACTTTTTAAAATTCTGTAAGGGGGCTGGAGAGACGGGTCAGCAGTTAAGAGCACTGGCTGCTCTTGCAGAGAACCTGAGTTTGGTTCCCAGCACCCACATAGCAGCTAACAACCATCCCTAACTCTAGTTCCAGGGGATGTGACACCCTCTTCTAGCATGCACACGGTGCAGTTACATACATTCAAGTAAAATACTCACACATAAAAATTAAAAAATTTAAAATCTAAAGCCTCTAGAAGTCACTGGTCACTCCATGAAGTTACTATAAATTCTCCCTAATTTAATTTCTGATTCCTAGGTTTCAGGTGCTTGTGGTCAACCTTGGTCTGAAAATATTAAATGGAGATTTCCAAGTTGGGTATGGTGTTGGGTGTCTGTAATCCTAACACCTGGGAGTGGAAGCAGGAGGATCAAAACTTCAAGGTCTGCCTCTGTGACATAAGTTCCAGGTGAGCCTGGGCTACATAAAACTGCTTTAAAAAAAAAAAAAAAAAAAAAAAAAGGAGAAAAAGAACATTCCAGAAATTATTTGTAAATTTTAAATTGTATACCATTCTGAGCAGCATGATAAAAATCCCACTCTGCCCTATGTGAATTGTGTGCATACACACGTGCCTGGTGTATATGCTTCCCTTCCGATAGTGCTCAGTCCACTGCATCAGGCTGACTGTCATATTACAGTGGCTGGTGTGGTGTTCAGATCACAATTATTCTACTTAACAATAGTCCCAAAGCAAGAGGAATGCCACAGAAAAATATGAGAAGCATTTAAAGGGCTTTTTCTTCTTTTCTAAAAGTTCTTTTTGTCTTTTCCTATAAGTATGTAGTAGTTACATAATGGGTTTCATTGTGACATTTTTTCTTTCTTTCTTTTTTTTTTTTTTTTTTTTTTTATTTCGGGTCTCCCTGTAGCCCTAGCTAGCCTGAAACTCCCTATGTAGACCAGGCTGGCTTTGAACTCACAGCGATCTACCTGCCTTTGCCTCCCAAGTGCTGGGATTAAAGGCCTGCACCACCATGCCCGACTCATTATGACATTTTCACACATATATAATGTACTTCAATTGATTCACTATTGCTCCTTCCTGTCCCCCGTCCCCGGCACTCCCTCTCATCCCCTTCCTCTTCCCAACTAGCCCTTCAGTGTTCATGTCTTTTTTTTTTTTTTTTAATGATCTAATGAGTTTTATTAGGGATGACTTGAAGGAAGATGATGAGGGATTAAAAATTTCTTTTAAAAAACTTTTTTAAACCAGGAGTGATGGCATAAGCCTTTAATCCCAGAACTCAGGAGGCAGAGGCAGGGGAATCTCTGTAAGTCTGAAGTTAGCCTGGTCTATACAGCAAGTTCTAGGCTACCCAGGGCTACAAAAGTAAGACTCTGTCTCAAAAAAATTTTTTACATTTATTTAGTGTGTGTGTGTGTGTGTGTGTATGTGCTATGGTGCATTTGTGGAAATCAGAGGACAACTTGCAGGAGTTGGCACTCTCCTTCTACCATATGGGCCCTGCGTATCAAACTCAGGTTGTCAGACTTGGTGGTAAAAGCTTTAGCCCAGGGCTGGAGAAATGGCTCAGTGGTTAAGAACACTGGATGTTCTTGCAGAAGACCTGGGTTTGAATCCCAGCATCCACATGGCAGCTAACAACTGTTCATAACGCCAGTTCTAGAGGATCCAACAGCTTCTTCTGACCTTCATGACATGGGTGCACTTACCTACATGCAGGCAATACATACATACACATAAAATAAAAATAATTAAATATTTTTTTTAAAAAAAGCCTTAACCCACTGAGCCCTCTTATCAGCCCAGAGTATGCTTTCTTCAAGTGAAACGATAAAATTCTCAGCTTTAATTTAAAAAAAAAAAAAAAAAGTCACAGGCTGCTAAAATGTATATTAAGAACAAATCTATCTGCAAAATTGTAAAGAAGGAAAAAGGAATTCGCGGTTTTGCAGTCCCACCTCAAACTGCAAATGTTATGACCACAGTGCTCAGTAAAGATAGGTAACAGGTAATGCAGTGCTGGAATCCCTCCCAGTACTCAGAAGACTGAGGCAGGAGAATAATGAGTTCAAGGTCAGCCAGAAAAAAGGTAGAAGATTGGAACAGGAAAGCATTCTGAATGACAGCAACCGTTGCCCCAGAAAGCGTTGTCCTGACTAGGAAGTTTACCTTCACCATAGGTATGTAGAGGAACAAACAGTCTAGGAGCTCAGAACTGCCTGTGGTCTCAGGCATCTGTTGGGGCTAGGAACATGTCTCCTATAAATGCAGGGGGATGCTGGACTCTGAACACTGGTAAATATTGTACAGAATCCTCTGACCCAGATGTAGTGGTGCATGCCTGTAATCCTAGTAATCAAGAGATGAAGGCAAGAGGGTCAGTTCAAAGCCATCCTCAGTTACATTGGGAATTTGAGGCCAGCCTGGGCTACCAGATATTCTGTACCCCCTGCCCTATCAAAAAGGGCTAGGGAAACAGCTCAGTAGATGGAGTGCCACACAGGCACAAGGACCTAAGTTCCATCACCAGAACCCGTGTAAAAAAACAAAAAGCAAAGTAAGCGTGGTGGCGCAAGCCTTTAATCCCAGCACTTGGGATGCAGAGGCAGGCAAATCTCTGTGAGTTTGAGGTCAGCCTGGTCTACAAAGCAAGTTCCAGGCCAGCTGGGGCTACAGGTTTTTTTTTTTTTAAAAAAAAAAAAAAAAAAAAAAAAAAAAAAAACCGAAAACAAAACTGGGTGTGGTGGCACATGCTTGTAACTCTAGCATATGCTCACACACACCACACACCACCTACCCCAATAAATACAAAAATCCTCCTTTATGTGTTTTGGTCCTGGATGACACTGAAGCAGTGACTGAACCAGCCTAGGCCTACCCTTCACCAGAACCCATGCTCAAACAGACCTACTGATTACAGATGAGAGATGTGCCCAAGTAGACTTGGGGGACAAAGTTTATTAGGGAGGCCTGTTGTGGATGTTGGGGGAGCAGAGGGGAGAGGAACAGGTATGAGGATCTTTCAGAATCCTGGAGAAATGTCCCCAGATCCTGTCATCCAGTGTCAGTCTCCCTGATGGTCCTGCTTTGGGCTCGTATTGAGTCCTAGGTTATATGATCTCTGATGTTAGTGCCACTTCTCAAAGTCAGGCCCTGACTCAGCGTTTAATCAGCACAGTTTCCCCATGAGGATGCTCTCCTGAGGCCACTTCATAGAATCAGGCCACACAGCCTGGTGAGGGCTGACCTGAGACTGGATCCTTTTTTAATCTCTCTTTTTTTGAGACAGGGTCTCACTATGTATGTAGCCCTGGCTGGTCTAGAACTATGTAGACCAGGCTAATAGCCTTGAACTCATAAGAGACCCACCTAGCTCTGCTGGGATTAAAGGTGTGCACCACTAAATCTGGCCTGGACCTCATATCTGTCAGCATCCAGGACTGCCTTGAGCCACTGCCTTGCCTCTCCTCACTGTCCAACTCCTGAGTTTGGCATGCCAGCAGCCATAACAGACTTGTGAGCCATATTGTGGATGATCCCTTTGAGATATCTTTTGTTTTTGAGACAGTGTCTCATGTAGCCCAGGCTGGCCTCAAACTCAGCTATGTTGCTGAGGATGAACTTCTGATCCTCCAGACTCCTGAGTGCTAGAATCATGGGCATGCACCACACACTAGGTTTATGTGTTGCTGGAGAGCGAACATACCTGCTAAGCACAAACTAAGTTACATCCTCAGCCTCAAGGTGTCCTAAATTGTTGAATGTGCCCATACTTCCAAGATATAGCCACACTGTTCTACATAGTAGAGTTCATTCATCTCCACTGCCATATGATAGTCTGCCACTGCCAGGGCAGGGTGGCACATGCTTATAATCCTAGCACTGGGGAGGAAGAGGGAGCAGGATCTGGAGTGCTAAGTCAGCACAGCTACATAGCAAGTTTGAGGCCAGCCTGGGTCACATGCATGAGACCTTGTCTCAAAAAACAAAAAAAACTCATCCATCGATGCTGAAAATACCACAGTAGCCAGGTATGGGGCTCACCTGTAACCTAAGCATTTGGGAGGCAGAGACAAACAGAATGCTGCAGGTTTGAGGCCAGCCTGGGCTGTACAGTGAGCTTCAGGTCAGCCTGGGCTATACAGTGAGCTTCAGGTCAGCCTGGGCTACACAGTGAGCTTCAGGTCAGCCAGGGCTGCACAGTGAGCTTCAGGTCAGCCAGGGCTGCACAGTGAGCTTCAGGTCAGCCTGGGCTGCACAGTGAGCGTCAGGTCAGCCGGGGCTGCACAGTGAGCTTCAGGTCAGCCTGGGCTGTACAGTGAGCGTCAGGTCAGCCGGGGCTGTACAGTGAGCTTCAGGTCAGCCTGGGCTACACAGTGAGCTTCAGGTCAGCCTGGGCTACACAGTGAGACCTTGTTTCAGAAAAAAAGACCATGACCTATTTATCCACCTTGTTGGATTGATTGAATAGATTTGGGGTTCCAAATTGGAGCTTACACACTTTGCTTCTCTGAGCATTCTAGAAAATTCTGACAGTATACACTGGCATGAATGTCTATTCAGGATGTATTAAGGAAGCCAGTGGTTGGGTTGCTGGCTGTGTGATTATAAAAGTTCATTTGGGGGCTGGGAACGTGGCTCAGTAACACAAGATTAAGGACCTGTGTTTGATCCCCCTGAACCCCTGAAAGAGAGGCAGGCATGACAGTATGAGCCTATAATCCCAGCACTATAGACGTCAAATACAGATAGGGTTTGCTGTCCAGCCATCCCAGCCAATCAGCGAGTTCCAGGTTCAGCAAAAGATGTTGTCTCAGAAAAATAAGGTTGAAGGCCTGGAGAAGGCTCAGTGGTTAAGAACACTGGCTGCTCTTACAGAAGACCTGGGTCTGGCTCCTAGCACCCACATGGCAGCTAACAACCGCCCATAACTCCAGTTCCAGAGGATCCAACACCCTCTTCTGGTCTCTGCAGGCCTTCCATGACACAGGTGCACCTACATATATGCAGGCAAATACTCGTACACATTTAAAAAAAAACAAGGTTTGAGAACAATTGAGGAAGATGCATGATATTGACCTCTGGCTTCCACATGAACCCACACCTGTGGACCTGGGCACCTGCGCACATGCACACAGAAAAGGCACACCTGACAATGCCAAGCTGTCCCCCCAGATGTTAACAGCACTTTCTTCTGCCTATGGTCCATAAGGAGCAGTCTGGAGCCCGTGCTCTCCCGCCCTGAGGCTGCGGACCGCTTACCCATTCTCATCCAGGGGCTCTATCAGTTTCTCCTGGTACAGTTAAGTCCCTGTGTGAGATCGCAGTAGATATGCATTGGGCAGAGGACCAAACTGACACTCTGAGAGAATTAACCTGCTCAGTTTCACAGAGGACACCAGAGAACAAGTAATGGATGGATGGATAAATGAATCAAAGAAAAAGGAGGGTACCGCTTCTGGCCTAGCCTAGATGGGAGGGGAGGGAAAAGAGGGAATCTCCCAGGGGCCTGCAGGGAAGTTAGCTCACCTGAAGTTCTGGGCACAAGCTGCTTCTCTGCGGTAGTCACACTCCCACTCTAGCTCCTGCTGTAAGGCGTGTAGGCTCTGCTCAGCAAACAGGCCTGGGGGGATAGCCATGTCAGCTGAGGATGGCCACAGCCTTTCCCCTTACCTGAGCCCTCAGGTGTCTTCTCTGGATGGTCACGTGTCTGTCTTTCCCCATCTGTCACTATCCTTCACTGTCTGTTCCAGGATTTGACCTTGAACTCCTTGATCCTCCTGCTTCCACCTTCTAAGTGGTGCAATTACAGGCGTGTAAGACCATGCCTGGCTTGGCTTTTAAGACAGGATCTCTCTGTGTAGTCAGGCTTGCCTTTGGGCAATCCTCCTGTCTCAGCCTCCCCAGGGCTAGGATTTCAGGCATGAGCCACCATACCCACTGCCCCCCCCCCAACCTTGGACTGGCCTTCCCTCTGTCCTTCCCACAACTATGGTCTCTGTGGAAGCTCCTGGGCCTGGCTGTCATGGGAGCTGCCGTAACCCCCACTTTCAGTCATGCAATGCCGCCAACACAGGCTGACTCAAATTTACTACGTAGCCAAGGATGACCTGGAACTTATGATTTTCCTGCCGTCATCTCCCTTACTGGGGTTAGAGGTGTGCAGCACCACACCTAGTTTCTGTGGCACTAGAGACCATGCCCAGGGCATTGTGCACACTAGGAGGCACTCTCCTGAGCCACATCCCCAGCCATCTTGTCCTGTTCATGCTGACCCATTACTGCCCTTTGCCTCTCATCTCACTTCCAGGCCTGTCTACATTTCTCTCCTTCCTGCTGTCTTCGGTAAGTACTCTCTCATATGACCCAATACAAACATGCTGTCCTGCTGGCTGAGTCCTCCTTTCCTCTTCCGTGGCTCCTCCACATCCTGCATCCTCTGCCTGTCTGTCTCTGCGTTCTGGTCTGGGCGTCTGTTCTAGTGGCTTTGTCACACACTCATGCTGATGTACACTCACAGTGCTGCCTCTGGCCAGACCCTCCCTCGGTGGGGACAGTGGGTACCTCACCCTCTGGCAGGGCCACACTCATCTTGAGCACTGCCAACAGGTTCTGCACGTCGCTCTGGATGCTCTGGGCAACACCCGGGTACTGTTGGGAGACAGGAGGGGTTTGGGAGTCACTCATTCCTCTGGGACAGCACAGTGCCCACCCCCCACCCTGCCTGGCCTCCTTGCTCACCTGGATCTTCACGGCCACCTCGGTCCCATCCCTCAGCATGCCTTGGTGCACCTGCCCAATGGAGGCAGCAGCAAAGGGCACTTCCTCCAAAAAGGCCACCTTGGCCTGCCAGTCCTTGCCCAGCTCTTCTTCTAGAACTCTCTGGAGGGAGCAATCATGACAGTCATCGTCATAGTTATAGACAGCTGAGTTCGCTGCCTGTACTGAACACTTGATGGGTTAGTAACCCTGGGCTGAGCTCTTGGTTGCTACCCTACTTTACAGATGTGGAAACTGAGGCTCAGCAAGAAGTCTCTTGGTCATGTGATCAGCCAGGTGCTAGTAGACTAACAATATCCTCCCAACTGAGGTAGACTAGACTATTGTGAGATTTTTTGTTTTTTGAGCAGAGCAAACATACATCTATTAAGGAAAAGTGGAGGCGTTCCACAGGCAGAAGAATATCAGGATTTTTTTTTAATATATTTTTTGTTTTTTTATTTTTATTATTATATTTATTTTATGTGTATGTGTGTACTGCCTGCATGTAGGTAAGTGCCCCCCAGGATTTTTTTTTTAAGATTTATTTGCCAGGCATGGTGGCAGTACTCAGGTGGCAGAGGCAGGTGATCTCTGTGAGACTGGGGCCAGCCCAGCCTACATATCAAGTTCCAGGACAGGTGAGGTTACAGAGAGACTCTGTCTCAAAAGACCATAATAAAAAAAATTAACGAATAAATAAAAAACTAAAATAACAAAGAAATAAATTTATTTTTATTTTATGTGTATAAGTGTTTGTCTGCATGTATATATGTGCAACATTTTTTTATTTCTTTATGTGCATGTTTTGCCTGCATGTACGTAAGTGCAACCATGCATGCAATGCCCAGTAAGAACAGAAGAGGGTGCTGGATCCCCTGGAACTGGAGTGACTGACAGTGGTTAGCCACCATGTGGATGCTGGGAACCAAACCTAGGTCCTCTGCAAGAGCTTATTTGCCAAGCTTTATTAGGTTCCTGTATTATATCATAAAATTAACATGATGAAGAAGAGTTTCCTTTGGTTCTGGCCTGCTTAGAATGGCTCTGAGACAGGCAGTGACTACCTGGGTCACATGGCAAGGAGCAGAGTGTAGATGGAAGGCAGGTAGGTGGCCGGAGCCCACACCCTCATCCAGTTACAGGAGAATGGCTGGTGTCTTGGGTATTAATCACAATTCAAATGCGCAGTCACTCACAGGGTAACAGGGGCAGTTCTAAGAGCTTTATGTAATATAAAATAAGTGTTCTACCCCACAGATTATATAGTACTTTACGTAACTCAATGACATGGGTGTGTGGCTACCTCGCTCTTTCTCCAATGAAGCAGCTGAGATCAAAACCTACATCTGTGACTACTGGGACGGAGTCTGAACCCTATCTACTGTGCTTTGCTGCCTCAACAGAGTGTGGAGATGGGCTTGGGCCTGAACAAAGCATTGAGCACCAACCTCATGTTTAATCACAAAGATGGTATGTCTGAAGGGTGCACTTTGGTGACCCCATTTTACAGATGGGAAACTGAGGCTGAAAGTCAGGCTGGGAGTAGGGCAATGAGGAGGACATCTCTAACTGGATGTTCCTCTGATAAGCCATGGTCCCACCCCCCACACTTTGAAGAAGGAGGTAAGCCTTTTAAGGGGTGGAGCCTCCATATGGAGGAAAGGCAAACGTGGAGTGAGAGAAACCAGGAAGTATGGAAAAGGAAAGGCCTGTAAGAATCTGTGTCTTTGTAAGCCACCCCCTCCTAAATGTTATAAAACCAAACAAAATCCAAATAGGATGTCTCTTGTAGGCTTCTCAGCCCTGGGGCCCCAGAGGACAAGGGCGTGAGTCTCCCAAGAAGGGGGAGGGGAAAATTTACTGCAACAACATCAGACAGGTATGAGGAGAGGGGGCAAACTTCCTGACCGGCCACCCCCTCTGGGTACTCACCAGCATCTGCCAGCGGGGCATAAAGTCAGCACTCTGGCGGACCCTCTCAAAGATGAGCTGCAGCTGAGGGCTGATAAGGCTATTGTCTTGGGAGATAGTGGGATGAGAACAGGGAGAGAGAACGAGGGAGGGTGCCATGTGAGCATCTTAAATCAGAGCTTGCTGCTGGGTGGGTTGGGTGGGGTGGAACTGAGGTCATGGGTCAGAGGTTGAAGGTTATGCTGTACCCTGGATGCTGAGCATTTGGCCAACCTTGAGGGCAGCCCCCCGTACTGTACATAAGGTCCGTACGATCCGCTCAGCGTTGGCCTCTGAAAGCAAAGGGCTGGAGCCCATTCTCGAGCTGCCCTCTGGGGAGAGAATTAATCATTTGTATTATAAGTACAAAAAAAAATCCTTTTTTATTTTTGATATTCATCATATAGCCCAGGCTAGCTTCAAACTCATGGAAATCCTCCTGCCTCTCTTCCAAATCACTGTGTCACTGTTTCATTTTAATTTAGAACATCTACCCTCACTTTTTTGGGATTTTCAAAAATCTTATTTATTTAAGGGACTGGAAAGATGGCTCAGTGGTTAAGAGTGCTTGCTGCTCTTCCAGTGGATCCAAGTTCAGTCCCAGCACCCATGTCAGGTGGCTCACAACCATCTGTGACTCCAGCTCCAGGGGATCTGATACCCTGGCCTCTGCCATACACACATGGCAGACATACACATGTGCACATAAATAAAAAATAATAAAAATAAATCTTTGGGCTGGAGAGATGGCTCAGCGGTTAAAAGCATGTACTGCTCTTCCAAAGGACACCAGCTCAGTCCCTAACAACTATATCAGGAGGCTCACAGCCACCTGTGAATCCAGCTCCCGGGACATCCAACACATCTGGCTTCTGGGGACACCTGCACTCATGTGCACATACTACACACACACACACACACACACACACACACACAATTAAAACTAAAAATTTTTTATTTTTGGCTTTTAAAAATTTATTTATTAATTTTTATTGCATGTGTTTGAGTGTTATGTCTGCATGTATGTAAATGCACCTGTGTTGTGCAGCACCCACAGAGGACAGAAGAGGGCTTCAGATCCCCCGGAAATGGAGTTGTAGACAGTTGTTAACTGCCATGTGGGTGCTGGGATCTGAACCTGGGTCTTCTGTAAGAGCAGTCAGTGTTCTTAACCACTGAGTCATCATCTCTCCAGCTCCTATTTTTGGGGTTTTTTTTTTTTTTTTTTTTGGTCTTTTTTGAGATAGGGTCGCCTAGTAGCCCCAGCTGTCCTGGAACTCACTATGTAGACCAGGATGGCCTTGAACTCACAGAGATCTGCCTCTGCCTCCAGAGTGTTGGGATTAAAGGTGTGTGTGTGACCACACCCAGCTGTTTATTTTTGAGACAGTCTGACTAAGTAGCCCTGGCTGGTCTGGAACTCACTATGTAGTCCAGGCTGGCTTCCAGCTCTCAGAGATCCACTGTTATCTGCCTCTCAACTGCTGGGATTAAAGGTATGCATCACTACACTCTGCTAAGACTTGTTTTTATTTTATGTTCATGTGTATGCTGTGTGTGCAGGTGTTCTGGGAGGTGCAAAGAGGGCACTGGATTCCATGGAGCTGGAGTTATAAGCAGTTGGGAGTCATAGGACATGGGTGCTGGGAACCAAACCCAGGTCCTCTGCAAGAAGCAGCAAGCGCTCTTAATCACTGAGCAATCTCTCTCTCTGGCTCCATATCCTTCTGATCTCCTTGGGCATTACATGACATGGGTGAACTTACATATATGCAGGCCATACACTCTGCTTCTCAGAGAGGAACTCCAAATGGTCTGTATTTTTCTCTCAGACGATATGCTGTATCATAGCCCTGTTAGTGGCCTTACCCTATCTTTAGAGATGGGTATAATGTCTTCTCTCCCATCTTCAGATGAGGAAACTGAGCTTAGAGAGGTGACCTTACTTGCCCCAGCTTCACAAAGCAAGGTCTTTGTGTGTGCATGTGTGGTACTGAGGATTGAACCTAAGGCCTTGTACATGCTAGGCAGGTAATTTCCTACTGTTACTGACACACACACACACAGCCATCACTGGTAGGCAAGAGCTCTCCCACAACCCCAGTCCTCAAGGCCAGGATCTGAATGAACCCAATGTGGCTTACTCACCTGACTGCAGACTTCCTCCTGGCAGGGACTTCTTGGCCACCTCAGCCAGCACTCCCAGCCCCAAGCCCACGGCCAGCCCTGAGGAGCAAGAGAGGAACCTGAGCACCTGAACCTTTTCTTAATCCTTCCCTCCTGCCTTCTGGCATGCTTGCCTGCAGGCCCTTTGCTGCCAGCTCAGGTTCATGTTCTCCCCTCCTGCCTGGGCTTCTCTCCCAGGAGAGGCTCTGTCTTCATCTGCCCTATTCCCAGCAGCTCGGAGCCTTATCTGCTGAGTTTCTGGAAATCTGATGCCCAGAACCTACTCCTGAGAGTCTGATTAAATTGGTCTGAGATGAGACTTGGGAATTCGTATTTGTTAAGCACTACAGCTGGTTTTTGTGCATAGCCACAGTTTATGATGGCCCTGGGACTACCTTCTGGTGCCTCTGTTTGGCTGTCTATACCTCCTCCTCTTACTCGCTCTCTTTTTTCAGATAGGGTTGCATGTAGCCCAGGCTGGCCTTAAATTTGCTATGTAGCTGAGGATGACCTGTAACTTCTTACCCTCCTCTCTCCACCTCCTGAGTGCTAGGAATTCTGGGATTACCCATTTGCCACCACACCCAGGACTTAGTGCCTATGAGGTAAGCACTCTACTGACAGAGCTGCATCCCTAACCATCCCCCGCCCCGACTTTTTTTGGTACTGTGGGTTGAACCCCGGGTTTCACACGATAGGCAAGATCTCTACCACTGAGCTGAATCCCTAGCACTTTTAAAACATTTTTGAATGTTTTTAAAAAAACATTGAAAAAAAATTTTTTTACTATTTTATTTATTAGTTTTTAATTTTATTTTATGTGTATGCGTGTAGTGCCTGCATGTAGGTACGTACACTTGTGTCGTGCAATGCCCACGGAGGACGGAACTGGAGTTACGGACAGTTGTTAGCTGCCATGTGGGTGCTGGAATTCGAACTTGGGTCTTCTGCAAGAATAGCCAATGTTCTTAACTGCTGAGCCATCTCTCCAGCCCCATTTTTTGAAAATTTAAGACAGGGTTTTACTAAGTTGGTCAGGCTGGCCTAGAACTGATTATATAGTTTAGGCTGGCCTTGAACTTACAATCCTCTTGCTTCAGGCTTCTGATTAGTTGGGCTACTATCAGAAATGACTCACATCTCTTTCCTTCTTTTTCTTTTTTTCAAAAATATTTATATTTGCCGGATATGATGACACATACCTTTAGTCTCAGCACTTGGGAGGCAGAGGCAGGCAGATCTCTGTGAGTTCAAGGCCAGCCTGGTCTACATAGAAAGTTCCAGGCCAGCTGGGGCTATAGGGAAATCCATCACACCTAGCCATTCACTGTAATTTTCATTTTTTATTTTATTTTTCTAGTTCTGGGGATGGAGCCCAGGGCCCCGTGACAATCAGACAAGCGTTCTACCGTGGAGCTACTTCTCAGCCCCTCTCTTCTGGATGCTCACCTCTCCTTTTCTAGGTCACTTATTTCCCAGCTCTAACTTCCTGCATATGGCACATCTGCCGGGGCCTCCTCCTCCACCTTCCTCTGGTGCTACCTCTCCTGCTGATGTCCTCTGCTTCCATTCTCCCCTTGTTCTTAGAGAACCTGGCTCCCTCTTTCACCATCACCATCTCTGTGAGTGACTGCAACTGGCATTTTCTGAGTGCTTTCTACAAGCCAGGGACTGCTGTCCATGCCTCCCATGCATTAACTCCTTCTGTCCTTACACCTCTGTGAAATGTGTTTGACAGAAAAACTTACATTTCACAGGAAGGGAAATTGAGGCTCAGAGAAGTTAAGCAAGTTGCCCAGTCATAAGATGAGGATGCAGTTTGCTGTCAAAGTTCACCTAGAGCATTCAATCATCTTTCAACTGTGAACAGTTATGTTTACAATCTGAACTATGATCTGTAATAGGACTTACATTATAACTTGTAGAGGATCTGTTATCTGAACACTTGAAGATGATGAGTTTAAAGCCAGCCTTAGCTATAGAGTGAGTTTGAGGCCAGCCTGAGCTATTTGAATCCCCCATCTCAAAAAGCATATATATGTATGTACATATTTATACACATACACACAGACACACATATATTCAGTATAGACAAATATATACATGTTTTATGAAGTAAAGCTTTTCCTTGCTGTATCGGTATTTCATATTTTCTCTTCTATGCTATTCTCTTTTTCGATTATTATTATTATTGTCTTTTTGAGATAAAGTCTCCCTGTAGCCTCAGCTGGCCTGCTACTCTCTATATAGACCAGGCTGGACTCAAACTCACAAAGATCTGCCTTCCTCTGCCTCCCAAGTGCTGGAACTAAAGGCACGCACCACCATGCCTGGACTTATTATTATTTTTGAGACAAGGTCTGACTATATTGCTCAGGTTTGTCTTGACTACATGGGCTCAAACAGTCCTACTTCAATCTATCAGGCTGCTGGTCCTACAGGCATCATACCTGGCTTTTCCATCTTTCCACTTCAGCCTCTCAAGAATTTGGGTTACAAGCCTGTGTCACCATGCCCAGTTCCTCCTCATGTTTAAACATTTTAATTAATTTATTTTTATTTTATTTGTATATTGCTATATTGCCTGCATGTATGTAAGTGTACCCATCATGCAATACCCAAGGAGGTCAGAAGAGGGCTTTGGATCCCCTGGAACTGGAGTTACAAATGGTTGTTAGCTACCATGTGGATGCTGGGAATCAAACCCATGTCCTCTGCAAGAGCAAAGTGCTCTTAACTGCTGAGACATCTCTCCAGCATCTCCCCCATCTCCTTTTTTTTTTTTTTTTTTTTTTAAGACAGGGTTGGTCTCATGGAGCCTCAAACATGGCCTCAGACTTACTATGTAGCCAAGAATGACCTTGAACTTTGGGAGATCTAGATCCTGACAGGTTCTCCATAAATGTTACAGTTTACATTCCTATTTTTCTGGGTTTTGCAGAACTTTGCCTCCATCTTTCTTTCCCTCCCCTTCCTATCTCTGATCCATCCTTTCCCATGCTTCATCTTGCTGACCTTACCTCCTCTGACCTAGGTCACATCTACAACCCCCAAGGTCACACCTACCCCCAAAGCTGGCCAAGCGACTGATGCGGGAGGCAGGCACCTCGCGTTCTCGAGAGCGATCACTCAGCTGGGAAAGGAGAGGAAGTGTGATATAGGGAAGGTGGGCAGAGTGCCAGAAGCCCCACCAACCTGCTGTTGCCCCTCCTGAAAGATCAGGGGCCAGTGTCCTTCCCAGAATCTTGCTGGGGTCAAGGGAGAATACCTGGGGTCTGGGCGCCTTCCTGAGCCGGGCCTCCCGCGCCCTGCGAATGTCATCCTCACTCAGGCCTCTTCCAGGTCCATCTTGATGAATGCTTTGGGCCCAACAACTCCCACATGGTCCCTGTAGAGAAGTGGCCTTTAGTTGGGTGGGGGCTAACCCTCCCTTTTTGGATCCTTCTCCATCCTTTTACCCTCTTAAGCCTCTCTCAGACTTTCCCCTCGGGGACTCTTACCCACCAGTGGGGCCTAGGCCCCAGGGCCCCACAGGGCAGACCAACAGTCCTGCCCAGCGGTCCACCGGTCCCCCGCAGCACGGCCCCGACTTCCAGCCACATTCCCTAAGGGAGAAGAGGGATTATTCTAGTAAGAATTACAGGTCTGGGCCTCCTGTTTTGCTCCCCTTCTTTGCAAGTGCCCCACATCTCTCCTGCCAATTGATCCCTGACAGTCTCTCCTAGTTACCCACCCCCAACGTTGCTAGGAACTCATGGTTTTCCCTAAGCTCCTTCCCAACTCCTGCCACAGCCCCTCTGGTTGCTAGGGTCCCCCCCTTCCCCCCCCCATTACTAGACACCCACAGACCCTCCAGGGCTCTCTCTCTCTACTTCTTTGAGTCCCTCTCCTTGCTAGGCATGGCCTTACCCTCCGACGCTAGACACCCACAATTCCTCTCGTGTCCCCCCCACCCACTCCGTTAGGGGGCACTTTCCCTGTTGCTAGGCACCCGCTGCCCTCAGCGGCCGGGTCCACCACGCGCAGAGCCTCCCGGGCTTCCGCGAACATCCGCAAACCCGCCCCCTCCGGTCAGCTAACCAATGGCAGTGCGGCGGCTAGCTGACGGACACAAAGTGCATCCCGTGCGTGAGGGGGCGTGGCAGATGGTGGGCGGGGCGCTGGGTGTCTGGAAGGGCTTCTGGGCCAGCTGAGATGCACATGGGGCCTTTATGCTGTCTTTTTTGGCAGTATTTCTCTCCCTCCCTCCCTCCCTCCCTCCCTCCTCCCCTCTCTTTCTCTATCTCTCCCTCTCTCCCTGTCTCTCTCTCTCTCTCTCTCTCTCTTCCTCTCTCTCTCGTTTTATTTGCGATGGTCTTATGTACCTAGGCTGGTGGGAGCTAGCTATGGATGACCAATCTTCCTGCTTCCACCTACCAACTGCTGGAATTATTGGCTTGCACCACCACATCCGGCTGCAAGCATCACTTTTCCTGACAAAGTTCGTATCTGTAGGAACATCTTGCCAACCTCCCCTCCTATTTTTCCTCCCGGGAAGCTCAAAAGCGTTCTTTTGGCGTGTGTTTTTTGCAATGGACAGAACCCAGGATCTTGTGTGTGCTAAGCAAGTTCTTTACCACTGAGCCACATTCCCAGCAATCTCTCTCCTTTGAACACGTTCTTCCAAGCAAATATTTCCCTTGCATGTGGAGCACGCCCTTTACAACTTTGTAGCAACACCCACATCCTGGCATCCAACCTCCTTTCTTGCACGTATAAATCCACTGCCTTGCTCACCAACTGTTACCCCACTCACGCCCGCAATTCTGCAATGTACAAGACTCCATTAGCTTGCACACTGTGCTTCTGTTCCCTCCTGCACCCTGCTCTCTCCCCTCCTCGCCCACTTAAGGGATGGCTCAGTGGGAGCCCTCTGTTTCCTGGAGGCCTGACATTTCCCAGAACACACTCAGCCAAGATTCCCAGTGCTGAGTCAGGAACCTTGGCATCGAAGAAAATTGACTCACTCTTCTGTCTGGAATAGAAACAGCTGGTGGAGGGGGGAAGCAGATGTGTTCCCCACAGCACCCACACCCTCTGTCGGGAACCAGGCCTCCCCCATCTCTGTCCCTTTGCTGAGTGACCTCAGAAGAGCCCTACTCCACCTCTGGAACTCAGTTTCCTTAATCTGTATGATGTATGAGGTGGGCTCCTGGCTAGGACTTCTCATTAGCTTGTGAAGGATGACTCACTCTGGAGCCTTTGGATTATACCCAGTGTCTCTACCCTGGGTGACTCAATTTCAAGACTGAAACCAACACCTGTTCCCCTCTGAAGGTGAGGGTCTGACTCAGGAGCTGCAGCTAGCTCACCATAGTGGACAAACTATGAAAAATCACCTATGACAACAACACTACAGGACTCACAGTGACGTCGTCGTACCACATACATCGTAGTCCTGAGTTCATAGCCAATGTTACAAAGGCAGGGTGGTGGGGCAGTGGGAACGACAGACCTTTAAGTCTCACTGTCCTTACTGTTAAACTGGGACCGTGCAGCCTGTCATGATAGTGCATTCCTACAATCCCAGCACTTGGGAGTTAGAGGTAGGAGGATCAAGAATTTAAGGTTATCTTTGGCTACAAATCAAGTTTGAGGCTAGTGTGAGCTATGTGACATCCTGTCTCAAAAATAAAATAAAATAAAGAATGGGGTTGGGGATGTGGTTCAGTGGTAGAATGTGTCTTTTCCAGCATCACAAAACAAATAAGGGACTGAAGTGATGACTCAGCAGTTAAGAGCATGTCCTGTTCTTCCAGAGGACCTGAATTCTGCTCTCAGCACCCACATCAGGTGGTTCACAACCACCCGTAACCCCAGCTCCAGGGATCTGACATCCTCTTCTGGCCTCCAAGGGCACCCGCACATACGTGGCACACACACATACACACATATATAAAAATAAAGAGGGACTGGAGAGATGGCTCAGCGGTTAAGAACATGGGTTGTTCTTGCAGCAGACCCAGGTTTGAATCCCAGCACCCACATGGAAGCTAACATGGTGCGTAACTCCAGTTCCAGGGAATCCAACGGCCTCTTCTGTCTTCTCAGGGCATTGCACAACACAGGTACACTTATTTACATGCAGGTAATATATGCATACACATAAAAATAATAAAATATTAAAAAGAAAGAATAAAAAAAAGCAAGCCAACCAACCTAACTGTGACTGTAGCGTTCCTTACTGTTCAGAGTTAGTGACAGATAGAAATAATGAAATAGTGTCATAGCCTGGTACATAGTCCTCTAGATATTTGATGGTTGGTTTGTTTTTTTTCTCCCAGGGTTTCCCTGCAGCTCCCAGCTGGTCTGGAACTTGCTATGCAGACCAGGATGGCTTCAGACTCCCAGAGATCTGCCTGTCTCTGCCTCCCAAGTGCTGAGATCAAAGATGGGTGCCACCATGGCCAGTTCACATTAGATTACATTCATTCATTCATCTATCATCTATCTATCTATCTATCATCTATCATCTATCATCTATCTATCTATCTAATCTATCTATCTGAGACAGGGTCTCCCTGTAGCCCCAGCTGGCCTGGAACTCGCTATTTAAATTAGGCTGGCCTGGATCTCACAGAAATTTACCTGCTTCTGCCTCCTGAGTGCTGGGACTAAGGGCACAGGCCACCATGCCTGGCTGCTTATTTTATTTTCGAGAGCTGGGGATTGAATCCAAGGCTCTGTGTATGTGTTCAGTCACAGAGTTAAATCCCCAGCCTTCACTTATTTTTTTGAGATAGGGTCTCACTATGTAGTCCAGGTTAGCATCTAGCTAGTAAGCCTCTCCTACCTGCCTGAGGAATGCTTCCCTGCTTTTGACATGAGATTTATTTTTTGTTTGTTTGTTATTGTTTTAAACAGTAGAATTTATTTTTTATTTTTATTTTTATGTATTTTGTTTATTTATTTTTGTCTTTTTGAAACAGGGTGTCCCTGTAGCCCCAGCAGGTCTAGAACTTGCTATGTAGACCAGGCTGGCCTCAAACTCACAGAGATCTGCCTGCCTCTGCCTTCTCAAGTCCTGGAACTAAAGGTGTGCCCCACCATGCCCAGTCAGCCCCATTTTTTTTTTTAAGTTTTAAAGTGCTTTTATGTGTGGGGATGCATGCATGTGAAGGTTAGAGGACAACTCTTGGAGTCAGTTCTTCCATCTTTACAAGGGTTCTGGGGATCGAACTCATGTTACCAGGCTTCTTACCCTCTGAGCTGTCTCACTGAACCTTGTTTCTGTTTTTTTGAGACAGGGTCTCATGTAGCCCAGACTTGGAACTGGTTATGTAGCTAAGACTGACCTTGAACTCCTGAGCCTCCCACCTCCATCTCCCAAGTGCTGGGATTACAAGCTCATGCCTTGTGCCACAATGCCCAGCTAGACATCACACACTTTTTTTTTTTTTTTTTTTTTTTTTTTTTTTAAAAAAAAAAAAAAAAAAAAAAAAAAAAAGAGGACGATAAATCTTTCACTGTGATATACTCACAGAGATCTGCCTGCCTCTGCCTCCTAAGTGCTGGGATTAAAGGTGTGTGCCATCATGCCCGGCCTATCATATACTTTTTATGGAAAATATACTGGAGGGAAAGACACTCAGGTAACACAGCTGAGAAGTGGCCCAGGCGACTCTGGAACCCAAGCCCATAGGTCTTTGAAAAGTCCATCCTAGGACTCAGCAGTTAAGTATGTTTGTTGCTTTGCAGAGGATCCAAGTTTGGTTCCCAGCACTCACCTTAGGCAGTTCAAAAATGCCTATAACTCCAGCTCCAGGGGATTTGATGTCTGCTCTGGACTCCATCAGGCCTTTGCACCCACATATGCACATACCCCCACACAGATACACATTATTAAAAATTTTTTATTCAGTATATATTTTTATTGAATTTTGTGCATTTCATATATTGTTCATATTTAGATAAATATTTCCTAAAAAGGAAGAAAACTTGGGGGGCTAGAGAGATGGCTCAGTGGTTAAAAAAACTGGCTGCTCTTCCAGAGGACCAGGGTTCGATTCTCAGCACCCCCCTGGCAGCTAATAACCATCCATAACTCCAGTTCCAGGGAATCCAACACCCTCTTCGGACCTCCGCACATTGCATGACACCGGTGCACTTACATGCATACAGGCAATACACTCATACACATAAAATAAAAATAATAATTTTTTTTTTTAAAGTTGCACGTTGAATGAGTGCGTGGTTGAGCTGGTCACTCAGGGTGTAGGAAGGCTGAAGTGGTCCCTGGAGGGTGTGGGGGACAATGGTTAGGCAGGGTGTAAGGAGGGAATCCCAATAGCGCACGACCTAGACCCCAGGGCCAGACTTAAGTCTGGGGGACATCAGGAGCTGACAGGTAACTCTTATAGCCGCACAAGCAGTACCAGGCTAGGTCCCGCCCACCATAACGTCATGTCCGGCGGGGGCGGGGCTTCGGGGCTTTCCCTGGGAGGCGAAGTATCGGTTAACCCCTTCGTGGCCGGCTGGGCCGGAGCTCGGCGGGCCGGAACCAGGAGTTGGGGCTCCCCCCCAGCCACACCCCTCGTAGGATTTAAAGGGGAAGGAGGGACCAGGCCGGCCGAAGCCCTAAGCGGAGGAGCCGGCATGAGGCGCTGCCCGTGCCGGGGGAGCCTGAGCGAGGCGGAGGCCGGGGCGCTGCCCGCGGCGGCCCGCATGGGGCTGGAGGCGCTGCGAGGGGGGCGGCGGCGACAGCCCGGACTGCAGCGACCCGGGCCTGGCGCGGGTGGCCCTGCGGGATGGCCGGAGGGGGGCGGGCCCCCGGCCTGGACGGAGGGGTCTAGCCTGCACCCTGAGACCGAGAGGACCGGCCTGGGGCCTGAGTCGTGTGCAGACGGACATGCTGAGTGCAAAGCAGCTGGCCCAGGAGCGGAGACGGCGAAGGCCAGCCAAAATAAGGAGCTAGACAGGTCCAACCTCCAGACACATCCAGAAAGGAACAAGCACTGTGCAGACCTGGAGATGGACGGTCCCTGCGCCGAGACTGGGACCGATGGCTTCCCAGCTGATCCTCACAGATCCGACCTCCAGTCGCAGCCCAGGAGGGCCAGCCTCGTTACCCAGCCAGGGGTGGATGAGCCCTGGACCGAGCTAGAAAGACTTGGGTGGCAGACCCTGCCAGAGAGGGACAAGCCCTGGGCTGATCACCTCCTGACCCACCAGAGCAGGTCCAGCCTCCAAACTCACGCAGAGGGACCCTGCCCCTCAGCACAAGCCAGAGCAGATGGCTCCTGGAAAGAATTGTGCATCGATGGTTCTGGGACACCACATGACACCGATGACTCTTGGACAGAGTCCCAAACGGATGGTTCCCAGATACAACAGAGTCCTTGGGCAGCCTGGAATCAGCCTGGAAGTGATGGTTTTCCAACACAGGATACTCATAGCGCTCGGATACAGCCTGACACTGATGGTCCCTGGGCAGCGCTTGGAGCAGACTGCCTTTTGGGGGAGTCCGAAGGAGATAGGCCAGTAGAGGAACCAGAGCCTGGAGAGTTGGTGACTCACCTGTGCTCTCACCTGGAGTGCAGCTCCTTGTGCCCTGTGCCCCGTCTCATCATCACCCCTGAGACTCCTGAGCCTGAGGCCCAGCCAGTGGGACCCCCTTCCCGCATTGAGGGAGGCACTGGAGGCTTTTCCTCTGCCTCTTCTTTCGATGAATCTGAGGATGACTTGGTGGCTGGGGGCGGAGGGACCAGTGATCCCGAGGACAGATCTGGGGTGAGTGGGACCCGTTCTTCCTCAAAGTACATCCCCCAAATCTCTTATCCTCCCACCTTGGCTTGGAAAATTCTCCTCCATCTTACTCTTAGCTGCCCACCAGCAGCTTCACCTCTATACACCTCTTCCATCCACCGACCTCCTCCTCCTGACAGCTAGGTTACTAACCAGTTCAGGCACCCTTACATTCTCCCCTTTCTTCTCTGTCTGTTTTTTTTTTGGGGGGGGCGTCAGCAGTGGAGAATCACTCTTAACTTCATGGTGCCTAGGAACCTGTGAAATTGTACCATCGTGTGAGTCTGTGTGGGAACATAATTTTGCAGGGAGGGTCTGTGACTTCTGTTGAGTGCTCTGGGGAATCCGACCCCTCCAACTCTGAAGAATACCACCAGTAAGGAGACAGGAGACAGCACATCCATCCCCCGGTATCTTAGTTTAACCCTTAGCTTGTCTTTTCTTTTTTTCTTTTTTTTTTTTTTTTTTTTTTTTTTTTGACATTTTTGAGACAGGGTCTCCCTGTAATCCCCACGCTGGCCTTGATCTCACAGAGATCCGTCTGCCTTGGCCTCTGAGTGCTGGGATCAGAGGCATGTGCCATCACTCCTGGCTCTTTCTTTTTTATTTTAAACAGTCGAATGTAGCCCGGGCTAGTCTCAAGCATCCTTATGTAGATGAGGCTGACCTTGAACTCCTGAATATCCATCTAGCCTCTCCCAACTAAGTGCCAGGATTGCAGACATGTGCCACTATACCTGGCTCTTTTTTTAGATACGAGTTTTGCTACGTAAAGCAATCTCCCTGCCTTCACTGTCCCAGTGCCTGGATCACAGGTGTTTGTTCACCATGCTGTGCTTATGTTTCTACAAGTTAGACTGAGCCTCCAGCTTTCTGGTTTTTGTTTGTTTGGAGACTGGATCTCACTGTAGCCCAGGCTAGCCTTGAACTTATGATAATGATCCAACTGCCTCAGTGTCCTCACAAGTGCTGGGGTTATAGATCTGAACCACCAGGCTGGCTACCATCAGCTTTTCATTGGATGTTCGAAGGGCAGAATGCTCGGGATCCTCAGCCTAACCAGGTACCCACCTAGTCTCCCTGTCTTCTTCAGCTCCCCAAGAGGCCCTACAGACTCCTGTTTACATTTTCCACCTTCGCCCCCAGCTTGGGTGTGGCTCTCCCCTGGTGAATCAGAAGAGCTGGCTGGGCAGGTTCTGGGAGGGAAGCTCCCAGCAGAAGCAGGTGTGAAAGAGCCTCAAGTTGGGCTCAGAGTCCATCTGCTTGCCAGCTTGTCTGCAGAATCCTCCCACTGGGCTGGGGCCCCTGGAATCTGCCCTGAACCACGCCACCCCCCCCAGCTCACATGCCTTCCTTAGGGATGTGTTCATACATGTGGCCCCAGCTGTGAGAAACAGACCTGCCTGGACATGCTGGTACCCACATGAAGAGGCTGACCCTCCAGGGCTTTCTGCCACAGTGCTTCCCTTTGTCTGCCCTGCCCTCTCACCTCCTTGACATCTCTGCACAGCTGAGCTGAAATTAGTGACTAATAATAATAACAACAACATCAATGGCTGCAACTAGCGCTCACTCATCCGCAGCCATGCATGTGCTCTACCTTTACTCTCATTAATTTATTTATTCTTCACAGCAGCCCTATATCGTGTATACTCTTACTGTCCTCTTTTACAGATGAGGAAATTGGGGCATAGAGAGATGAAGTCACTCATCCAATGAAGTCATACACTTAAGATTCAAACCCTCGGCCAGGTGCTGTGGCCCATACTTATAATTCCAGCACTTGGGAGGCTGACACAAGAGATTGACCTGAGTTCAAAATGTACTTGGGCCACAGAGTAAAAACCCTGTCTCTTAGCCAGGCGTGGTGGTGCACGCCTGTAGTCCCAGCACTTGGGAGGCAGAGGCAGGCAGATCTCTGTAAGTTCAAGGCCAGCCTGGTCTATACAGTGAGTTTCAGGACAGCTCAGGACAGCTAGGGCTTCAAAAAAAAAAGGGGAGTGGGGGACTGCTGGAGAGATGGCTCAGAGGTTAAGAACACATCGTGCTCAGGACCTGAGTTTGGTTCTTGGCACCCACATCAGATAGCTCACAACCACCTGTAGCTCCAGCTGCAAGGGCTCTGATGCCCTCTCTGGCCTCCTGTACCCACACATGCACATACTGCACACAGAGACACACAAAGACACCTAAGTAAAATAAATCAGCCAGGTGTGGTAGTGCACTCAGGAGGCAGAAGCAGGCAGAACTCTGTGAGTTTCAGGCCACCCTGGTCTACATAGTGAGTTCCAGACTAGCAGGGGTTACAGGGAGAGCCTGTCTCGAAAAGCAGAAAACAAGGGACTGGAGAGATGGCTCAGTGATGAAGAGCACTGGCTGTTCTTCCAGAGGACCTGGGTTCCATGCCCAGTACCCACATGGTGGCTAACAATTATAACTCCAGTTCCAGGGGATCCAACGCCTTCTTCTGACTACCACAGGCATTGCATGACACGGGTGCGCTTATATACATGCAGGCAATACACTCATACACATAAAATAAAAATAGTAAAATACTTTTTAAAAAAGCAGAAGACAACAACAAAAGATCAAAGCCTTGCTACATACTAGAAATTATCCTAAGTACTTTCTTTTTCTTTTGTTCTTGGAGACAGGGTCTTGCTAAGTAGTCCAGGATGGCCTGGAACTCATTATGTAGATGTAGCCCAGGCTGGCCTTATACTTGCAGCTATCCTTCTGCCTCAGCCCCTTGAGTGCTGGGATTACAACTGTGCTCTGCCATGCCTGGCTCTGAGTACTTTATACCCCTTTGCTTTTTGTTTTGTTTCTTCTATTAATTTATTGAGTATGTGTGAATATGTATGAACACACATGTGCCACAGCATGCATTTGGAGGTCACAGGACAACTTGGAAAGTTGGTTCTCTTCTACTGTGTGGGATGTGGGGATTGAATCCAGGTTGTCAGGTTTGCCCACAAGCACCTTTACCGGCTCAGCCATCTCACCTGCCCTGTTTTGTTTCTTGTGTATGTGTGTTTGAACCTAGGGACTGAAAGAACCTAGGACCTGTTCATGCTAGGCAGGTGTTGTACTACCAAGCTATATCCTTAGTCTTCTTTTAATTTTTATTTTGAGACAGGGTCTCTCTCTGTTGACCAGGCTTTTAACTTGTTATGTTTCCCTGGTAGATCTTTTTTTTTTTTTTTTTTTTTTTTTTTTTTTTTTTTCATCTTTGCAACCTATATTTTTTAAACTTTCCTCAGAACCAATCTCATTATCAGCACCATCACTCTGAGCTGTCTTTTCATGTTCCTTCTTGTATGTATCAAGACTCATGCTAAACAATGAGTTCTGGGTTGCAAAAGACAATTTATTTTTATACTTGTCTTTCCCTGGCAGATATTGAACTATCATCCTTTTGTTACAGTCAGCCTCCCAACTAGCTGGGAGTTTAGGCTTGCGCCTAGAATCCCCCAGTGAGGGGCTGGGGGTGTGGCTCATGGGTAGAGTACTTGTCTAGCATGCAGAAATTTCTGGGTTCCTTCCATTCCTAGTATTGCTGGGGGTGGGGAGAGAGGGAGAGAGATAGAGATAGATAGATAGATAGAGAGAGAGAGAGAGAGAGAGAGAGAGAAAGAACAAGAACATGTTGTTTATAATAAAAGTCAGTTTCAACTAACCTTTACTCCAAGCACTGTTTTTGGAGCACCTGCTGTGTCTGACCAGGTGCTAGGGACACAGTTGTAACCCAGTGCATGCCTCCTCCCCTTTGAGCTTCTGTCAGCTGGAGAGCAGTGAGTAAGGCCTAGGGCTGTGGAGTCAGAGTAGAGCCAGAAGCCCAGGACTGTGCTGGGTGATGTTAGGTCAGTGTCTTCACTTCCGAGTCTGTTTCCTCTGCTGTGACACAGACAACTTATCTTCCTGGGGTTGTTTTTTAGGATTGATATGGTATGCAGAGTCTTTGTCATGGTGCCTGGAATGTCCCAGGTACTTAGTGAACAGGAACCTTGATTAATCATCTCTTCCCCATGGGAGAAAATAGCCCTTCCTGAATCCCATGTGGTCCAACACCCTGGTTCCCTGCTAAGCATCTGGCTGCCACCAGTTAGCTGTCCACTGGGTAGCTAGACTCTGCTGGTGGGAGAAAACATGCCCTTGACCCTGGGGGCAAAGCAGGGTGAGCACACAGTTTTCTTCTCTACAGGTGACCCACTCTCCCAATGCATGCTAAGGGCCTCTGTGCCTGGGGTGGGTGTGTGATGTCTGAACCAGACTCTGTCTGGCTCTTGGGTGAAGCAGCATGATATAGCTTCATCAAATCCTGTTTTGTGTTTGCTGTCCCCACTCTGCCACTAAACTACACCCCTGCCCGTCCCTGGTTTCTGTTGCACTCTTTCTCTCAATCATGGCATTTTTAATTAATTTTATTTTATGCATATGAGTGTTTTGCTGCATATATGTAAGCACACCCCTGTCGTGAAAAGCCCATGGAGGCCAGAAGAGGGGTTGTATCACCTGGAACTGGAGAGATGGATGGTTGCTAGCTACCATGTAGGTGCTGGGAATTGAACCCAGGTCCTCTGCAAGAGCAGCCAGTGCTTTTAACCACTGAGCCATCTCTCAGCCTCAGTCTTTGTTTTTTATTTTAGTATTTGTAATAGCATCTTTTCTCTCTCTCTCTCTCTCTCTGTATGTATGTATGTATGTATGTATGTATGTATGTATGTATGTACATGCATGTGAGTGCAGGTGCCCTTGAACTCTAGAGGTGTTGGATTCTCTGGAACTGGAGTTACAGGCAGTTGTGAGTCACCCAGTGTGAGTGCTGGAAACTGAACTTGGGTCCTCTGTAAGAACAGTGTGGCCTCTTAACTGCTGAGCCATCTCTCCAGCCTCTTCATATTTCTTTTAATCACTCTTTGCTGTTCTCCTGCTGATCAAAGTAGATCAAGGTCTACTCTAGTAGGAAACAGCTCCTAAGTCTGCATGACTTAGAACAATAAAATTTTTCCTTTTTCCTTTCCTTTTTTTTTTTGAGACAGGGCCTTACTATGTAGCTCTGGCTGGCCTGTAGACCAGGCTGGCCTCAAACTCACAAAGATCCCCCTGCCACGGCCTCTGGAGTGCTGGGATTAAAAGGCGTGTGCCACCATGCCCAGCACAAAAGGTTACTTTATACTGCATAGCAGATTGGCCACAGTTCGGTGGGGATGAGGGGCTCTGCTCTGTTCCCCTTCAGGGGTCCAGGCCCATTCCCTGGTCAAGCCCCCGATCCCAGTAGGGGACTGAACATAGAGAGTCCCTGGCTCTGCCAGCTTCCCCTCCAGAGTGGCACTTCTGCTCAGTTCATTGGCCACAGCAGGTCAATAACAGTTCAGAGGGACAAGGACGTGTCTGAAGGGGAAAGAGCCAGAGCCATTGGTGGACAGCACCGGAGACTGCCGCGGCCTCCATCTCGGCCCCTGTCTCTCTCTGTCTCGGTTGTTACTTTGTCATCTGTCTCTCTGGGGTTGGCTTCCATCCTTCCACTCCGGTTATGTTATTCGCTCCAGAAAGTCTGACCTGATTAAGGGGCAGAGAGGCCAGGCCTCCGTACTTTGTGAGTATGTGTTTCAGGGTACGCTGTGTTCTGGCGATTGGTATTCAGCCTAGTCTATCCTTACTCATGACAAATACACAGAACAAAGAAAGTGGTGACCTGGGCAAGCCCTTCCCCACCTTTGCTGAAGTTTTGGAGTGCTTATGATCATCAGACTAAGTGGGATTCACTCACCCCCACTTGCTTGACAACCATGATCCCAGGAAGCTCCCTGGCCCTCAGAGACCTCAGGTCCACCTCGGCTCTCACTTGTGACAGTGCCTCCAGCTCATTCCCTCACTGGCCTTGACCCAGACCTCTTGCTGCTCCTCCCTACAGAGCAAACCCTGGAAGAAGCTGAAGACAGTTCTGAAGTATTCGCCCTTCGTGGTCTCCTTCCGTAAACACTACCCGTGGGTCCAGCTTTCCGGACACGCTGGTTAGACTGATTATGTTGGTGGGCAGTCAGGGCCGGGCAGGGGTGTCTGAGCCAGAGAAAGCACCGCTGGCTGTAGTTTGTCTATGTTTATAATGGGCTTGGTGACTGTTCCCACCTCATGTGGTTGCTATGGGAGACATTTAGACCTAGGAATCCTCAGGTCAGGGTGCAGGCGGTTCCCAGCATTCTGTTGGGTGGTGGAATCTGAGCTTTGGGATGGATGGACCTCAGATAAGCTGCTTTCCCTTCTTGGGCCTTAGTTTCCCCACATGTTAATATAGAGCTAATCTTACCTCCCTTGCAGGATTAACTGAAGAGTTAAAGGCAGCACATGCAGAGATTGAGACAGAGGCCCCTGAGGAATCAGGGATCAATTTCTGACCCTTCCCTCTATCCCAAGCACAGCATAGCAAGCCCCCAGTGAACCTAGAGACCTAGAGAGAAGTCCATTTCTCTTTTGTAGTATTGGAGATCGAGCCTAGGATATGCGTGCTAAGGAAGCACATACACTTACCTGTATCCCCAGTCACTATAAAATTTTAGAATTCTTATTTTTATTAGCCACATGGATGATCCTAAAAATGCCAGATTTATGAATTTATTTACTTTTTTTTTTTTTTTTTTTTTTTTTTGGTGTTTTGAGACAGGGTTTCCCTGTAGCCCCAGCTGGCCTGGAACTCTCTTTATAGACCAGGCTGGCCTTGAACTCACAGAAATCTGCCTTCTCCTGTTTCCCAAGTACTGAGATGATTAAAAACATGTGCTACCACACCCAGCTATTTGACAGGTTTGCCTCCAACTCAGCGTGTAGCCTGGACTGGCCTCAGAATTGTGGCAGTTTTCCTGCCTCGGCCTTTTGAGAACTGTAATTGTAGGCACAAGCTGTTTCTGTCATGAATGAACTTAAATAGACCCATGCTCTTGGCACCTGAGGCAGCAAACATAGCTTTCTTATGGGTTCTCAAGTCAGATCTCGCAGAATTCTCACTGGTTATTGATAGGCGTGCCCAATTCAAAATGACAAAACAGCGCCAGCAAGATGCTCTTCACGTAAAGGCATTTGCAGTGCAAGCCTGTGACCGTTTCAACGGATGGAATCCATATAAAGGTTGAAGGAGGGAATCAGCTTCACAGAACTGTCCTTTGACCCTCTCGCATGAGTACTGTGGTACGCACATGCCCTTAAATACACCATGTACACGCACATGCGTACACAACAATAATGAAGTTTTAAAAATTACAAAACAGGCTGGAGAGATGGCTCAGCGGTTAAGAACACTGTTCTTGCAGAAGACCCGGGTTCGAATCCCAGCACCCACATGGCAGTCAACAACTGTCCGTAACTCCAGTTCCAGGGGATCTGGCAGTCTCTTCTGTCCTCTGCAGGCATTGCACAACACAGGTGCACTTACCTACATGCAGGCAATGCACACATACACATAAAATAAAA